CAGTTCTTCTTAGAAAGCCAAGATCCTCCTACAAGGCACCAGAAGTCTTACAGTCACACTACTGAACCATTCAGTATGTTGGGGCTTACACTTCACAGTGCCTATTTTTACTGGTCCATACTGCCTCTCTGAAATCCTGAAGGCCTGGACACAACCTCTCAACTGACCTGCACTAACAGCCAAGCACAGAGCAACCCCACAAAGGTTGATCTAACCCAGTCCCGCTCCTGCAGCAGCCAGAGCTGCGTTTTCAGAAGATGAAACACCTGTGAAGGAGCACAGGGAGAGCAAAGACTTATGATGCAGAGCCTAGCAAAAGAAAGCACGTTCTACTGCATTAAAATCAGTGCAAAGTTCTCCTTTCCCTAGATCTGCATAGGGCTGGAAGAATTGACACTATACACACGTAAGAGACAGAGAGGCCCAAGGGAGAAGGATCATTGCCCTTGAATGGGTATTGTTTTGCCCCCACCCCCAAAGCACAGTAAGAGGAGAGACCACCTGTGCTGGGCACTGAGACAGCACAGCAGAGTTTCTACCTTGAAGAACATAATGTCAAGACTAAAACATTACACAAGCAATCAGTAGAGGAAGAACATCGGCAAGCAATAAGTAAGCACAGTGCACAGACACACCATTAACCCAGCTCAGATCTTGGACTTGATCTCCCTTTAGTTTCAGTGAACGCAAACACCTGCCTAATAGGTGCCCACCTGTGAGCCACTCACTCAGGAAAGCTTGGGCTAGCTGAAGACTAGAAAACACAGAAGCACCAGTCCCACACTGGTCACTGTGGCCTGACAGGACTTCTCCAGAAACCTGCTGACTCTACAGACACAGCAGCACACGATGTTAGAGGCATGGCCTCTGACAGGAGAATCACCTTCCATCAGCTTCTTCCAATCCTAACAAATGTTGCATCTGAAGACATTCCAGAGATTAATTTCAGACTAATTTTACAGAAGTTTCCTCCAAGCTGGTGTGTCAGATGGCTGCCCCCCATGATTATCAACACACAAACAAGCTCAGGCAGTAGAACAGGCATCTACACAATGCCAGCGCAAACCGTCCGTGTGAAAAGGCACAGCATTCACCGGGCCAAAGAGCAGTTCTTCACAGAACTTCCAAACTGATGACACACCACTTCTGCTCACCCACTGGCATCCCGCCACCCATGTAACCCACATCTAACCTCAGTCTCACTATTCACAGTCATTCTGTCTTTGGTTTGCCCAAAGCAGGCCCTCCTCTCTCTAGCTCTTGCAGCGTTTCTATTTGTGAGGACTATGCACATACACATCACCATCACTAAGTTCTGTGCTTTGTATTTGCAGCTTCTTTCTGCAGGAAGTCAGCCTGGTAATTCTGTCCTGCTCTTCAAATACCTGCTTGAGAGTAAACTACCCACAAATAAACAATACCTCAAGTCACTTTAAAGCTATAGAATGATCACGGCTTCCTGCTCCACACAACAGCCTCAGCACATGTCTTCAAAAGGTGGACTGGCTTTTCACAGACGCATGTTGCAAACTCCTTCCCATTTGCTGCCTGCTCAGCCCAGGACCCTCCTTGGGCACCGCAATCACATAGGCTTCCTCTACTAGCTCGGGGCATTCTGGAACATTTCTACCCTGACCCATCTGGCCATTCAATCATCAAGATTCTCCCTACAAACACATCAGCCTTCTGCAGCTCTTTCACAAAGGCTGGTGTTCTCCCACCTACGGGAAAAACTGTTTTTCCGCTCTTGAATTTTATGCCTCTAGTTTTTGTGCAGTGCTTGAATATATCACTTGCAGACAACATACCACAAGCCCAGAGATACATTGATCTAGAGTGACTTCCTGAATCTGCCCCTTAAGCCTCACAAGAAGACCTCCCGATCAATGTCTGATGAGTGAGACAAAAGATACCTATCTCATTAACACACCCAGCACACCTCGGCTCCAAGACAGGTCTTTGCATTCCTCCCACAGGTACATCTAGCCTGCACATACCCTTAACCATACAGTCAGCAACGGCATCTACACCGTTCAGCTTGCTCACCAGCTCTGCCCGCGATAGAGCTGCGAGTTCATCTGGCAGCAGAGTGAATCCTTTTGCTGTTACCTACGGTCTGGAGCGCAGGTGACACGGGTAGCCCCGCGGATGCCAGGCGGCCATCACCTGGCTTCAGGGGACCGGCTGTAAGGCCACCATTCACGTCAGGGGCGAAGAGGCTGCTTTCAGCAGCAGCATGGCCGCGACGACGTACCCCACTCCGAGATCTTCAACAGCCATCGCGGCAGACACCAGCCAGAG